GATGGATATACCATGGCTTGGGTTAGGTAGCATCTTTGCTCTTTAACACTTCAAAGAGATCTTTTGTAGCACATTTGCCCAGTGCAATATGACATCTGATTTCTTGACTGCTGCTTCCATGGGTGTTGATTGTGGATCCAAGTAATATGAAATCTTTGACAACTTCGGTCTTTTCTCCATTTGTCATGATGTTGGTTACTGGTCCAGTTGTGAGGATTTTTTTGTTTTCTTTATGTTGAGGTGTAATTTATATTGAAGCCTTAGTCTTTGATCTTCATCAGTAAGTGTTTTAAGTGATCTTCACTTTCAGCAAACAAGATTGTGTCATCTGTATATTGCACGTTGTTAATGAGTCCTCCTCCAGTCCTGATGCCATGTTCTTCATATAGTTCAGCTTCTCAGATTATTTGTTCAGCATACAGATTGAATAAGTATGGTGAAAGGATACAACCCTGACGTACACCCTTCCTGGTTTTAAACCATGCAGTGTAGTGTCCCCTTGTTCTATTTGAATGACCATCTCTTGGTGTATGTACAGGTTCTGCATGAGCACGAATAAGTGTTCTGGAATTCCCATTCTTCTCAATGTCACCCATAATTTGTTATAATTCACACAATTAAATGCCTTTGCATAGTCAATAATAAATAAATGTTCAAAAAATTATTAAATAAACATCTGTAGCCTACCACCTGGATTAAAAAATGCCAATAATTTGCACATCTGCACCAGATATTTTTTCATACAAAGTATAAACCATTATTGATAGAGTACAAGTCTCCTAGGTAATCCTACCTTCATCTCCAGTGGTCCACTATTTCTGCTAACCAGAAAGTTGGTGGTTCAAACCCATCAGTCACTCTGTGGAAGGAAGACAGGATAGTCTATTTCCATAATGATTTGTTGCCTTGGAAACTCAATGGGGGACACTATGAGTCAAGATGGACTCAATGGCAGTGGGTTTGGTTTTTGGTTTAAACAAGAGTACCTTTGTGTTTTTCAAAGCATGAATGATATCTTTCTACAGCTTTTTTTTTTTTTTTTTTTAATTCAACATGAGATTTTTGAGATCAGTGTATATGAATGGTAGAACTGGTTCATTCATCTTAACTGTGGAATGACATGCCATTGGATGAATAAATCACAATAAATCACCAGATACCCTCTACCAGTTTATTTGTGGGTCAGTTTTTCTGCTTCCTAAAAACGCTCCATTAACACCCCATGTGGTTTGATTTTTTATAGATGTATAGTAAATCTTGAGGAGCTCTGGTGGCATAGTGCCTAAGGCATTTGACTGCTAACCAGAAGGCTGGTGGTTCAAACCAACCAGCCACTCCTCAGAAGGAAGGTTGGGCAATCTACTTCTGTAGTGATACTGCCTTGGAAACTCAAGGAAGGGTCACTGTGAGTCGGCTCTGACTCGACGGCAGTGAGATAGTAAATCTTGATATCTGGTAGGAGATGTTGTCATCATTTTTCAAAATTATCTTGGCTGGTCTGGGTTCTGTACCCTTCTGTAAGAATTTTAGAATCTGCCAATCAATTTCCTAGAAATCCCTAGTGGAATTTTGATTGAATCTGCATTTAATGAATATGTTAATTGGGGGAAAAGCAACACTTTCAAGGTTTTTTTTTTTTTCCTCGCTGAATTGTAAAATAGCTCTGTTTATTTAGAGTTTCTTCTGAGTCCTTCAATAAGATTTTATTATTTTTTTGATTAAAGGGCTTACCATCTTTTATTAGATTTATTCCAAAGTATCTTGTAGAATAGGATTTTAACCATGGTCTTGGACATGGTTCTTGCTGACATATAAAGAGCTGAACGACTTCTGTATAATAATATTGTATTCAGCAGTCTCTCTGACCATGTTAAAGGGGTACAATAGTTAGTCTGTAGGTTCTCCTGTGTTTTCTGTGTATGTAAACTGCAACTTAATAATTTTTCCAGTCCTATGACTCCAACATATTTTCTTCATGGTCCAGTATGGCATGGAGTAGCAGCCATAGGCATGGATGTCTGTGTCTTCTTTCTCTCTTTAAAAGCCGCGACTTCTACAAGAACTGCCTCTTCATAGCGTATGACACTTCCTATGGGTTTTGGTAAAGAGAGATCAGTGTCCTTCTGTGTCCAGTTGATAGGAAACATTTTGTCATAACAGATGCTAGATTTTTATTAAAAGCTTTTTCTGTGTCTATTGAGATAATCATATTTTTCTGCTAAAGTATTAAATTGCATGAAGAGATTTTCTAGTATCAAACCATCCTTGAATTTCTAGGATAAACCTGCTTTGGCATGATCCACTTTTTAAGAAAACATTTTGTTGTAAATAGATACCGCATTTAGGCGTTGAATGCTGTTTGGCACCCTCCATCCAGCGTCATCACCCTGCTGTGCTCTGTGCCTGTTCTCTCCTAGCCTGTCTCCTTCAGAGAGGGAAGAGTGCCTCCCAGCATCAGACACATGCAAAGAGGAGTGTGGCAGGAAGAACGCAGATGAGAGCGAAGACGACCTGGCCTTCTGGAATAAGCCTTCCTCGTTTACTCCTGAATCTCGACTGGAAACTCTCAGACATATGGAAAAGCAACGGGAAAAACAAGAAAAATCAAGGTGGCTCATTTCCCCGCCAATTGAGATGACCACCCCCCCACAGGGAGTCCGCTCTCATGGTGACACAGCATTTCACCCCTTTCTGTGTGAAACCTTTTTAGCTGCCCTACATAGACTGTGGGAGCTCTGGTAGCATAGTGCCTAAGGGACTTGACTACTAACCAGAAGGCTGGCGGTTCAAACCCACCAGCCACTCCTTGGAAGGAAGATGGGGCAATCTACTTCCATAGCGATACTGCCTCGGAAACCCAAGGAGGGGTCGCCATGAGTCGGGTCTGACTCAATGGCACATAACAACAACAACAACACATAGACTGTGCTGTTTTTCTAAGTAGGTATTTTGCTGAATCACATCCACTAACATTCATTAGTATCAAACAACCTTCTTTAGGACCATCAGTTAGGTCATTTTAGGTGGGGTTTTGTTTTATAACCACTTTGAAGGTATCTGTTACCCAGGTCAGAGATCCTAGCCACCTTGATACAAAGGAAAATGACTAGGTGGGAGGAACGCACAGCTTTGCTACTTTCCCTTGGTTTATGACATCGGTGATGTCTCATTAGACATGAGGTTTCCCTAATACAACTCCCTTGGACAGTTGGCAGGATAGTCATGCTTTTTTGTTGTTGTTTTCACCTGCAAATCTTTTTTTTTTTCCTTCAATTGTGCTTTGGGTGCAAATTTACAAAGCAAATTTGTTTTACATTCAACAGTTCATGCACATTTGATTTCATGGCCCTTATTACCACCCCCAACCATGAAACTCTCCTCGCCTCCCCTCCATGTAAGTATCCCTCCCTGTACCCTTCTTAACTATGCATTCCTGAGGATGCTCACACTTTTGAATTGTGGGGATGTTATTGGATGCCTTGTTCAGAGCTCCCATCCCTTTGCTGTTATTTCCAGATCTGCTTTTTCAAAGACAGGCTCTGTGTCATTCCCCTTCATGTCATTGCTTAAGTCTAGTATTTAAAATGTATCACTTATGGGAATATTTATAGTTCATGCACTCAAGAACATGATGAGTTAGTGCTGAAATAGTCATTTGCATGGTAATGGCACAGGGGAGACACAGTCTTACCCTATGATTATCACCTAGAAGCAGGAAACTAAAGGAGTAGAAATACTATTAGGAATCTTTGCTGCTTTCATAAAATTTTCTTCGTTACGTACATAGATAGGGAGAAGCAAATGTTACCTGAAACACTTGTTTGAAAAACGTGCTGATTTGTACCCTGAGAGGCCACCAGTGCTTTGGGAAGGGCATTGGAATGGCATCAGGAAATGTGCCAGCGTGTGTCGACTGAGCTGTTCTGCCTGTGTGACGTTGGCCAGTACTTCACTTCTCTTCATGTTTCCTTGTTGGTTCAGTAGGAATTTTCATCTGAAAGTGTTTTGCAAACTCAAAAGCCCTTTTGAAATGGAAATTTTTGTTTATATAGCATTATTATTATTTCTAACCTATGCACACATATACCACCCCCCAAAAAAATTTGTTGACAAGTTGATTCCAGCTCATGGTGACCCACGTGCACAGAAAGACTGCTCTCTGTAGGGTTTGCAGAGCTGACTTTCTGAAAGCAGATTGCCAGGCCTTTCTCTGGAGACCCCCTGAGTGGGTTCAGACACTGACCTTTTGATGGTAGTGGCAAGCTTGACCGTTTGCACCACCCAGAACTTCTGTCCATAAGTAGGTATGTCCACATGCATGTGCATGTATATCATATGTAACAGATAAGGGATTGAGCCTGAAATCAGGATTTTTTTCCTCCTTGACAGCCTAAAAAAAGTAAGGCTGAATTATATGGACGTCAGAGCCCTTCTGTTCAGTAGGCATTTGTCTATCCAGTGGGTTCCTGAGAGGGTGGCATTTCTGATTGTGTAATTGTGGTCATTAACAACCTTAATCCCATCTGACTGCTCTTGTCTGCACCAAGCAGGGTGAAGTTAGGTACTTGGGGACATCTCTTAATTGCTCTGGGTCACATAGGATAATGTAGGTCATTGAAACATTGGGCTCATATTAAGATGAAGAGACTGTGAATGATTTTTTTTCTTTTTTTAAATCAAGTTAACTGACATAAAATCTATATTAAAAGAACAGTAGAAATCCAATGAAAAGAATTGTCTATAATTCCACCATCTAAACACATCTGTCCATCTGATTTTCCGGACCTTGTCAATATTTGCCTGCTGAATTTTTATGAACTTTATATGTCTTAAGTAGAAGTAATTTTCTGCATTTCAGTTTCATACTATCCCATGAATCATTCCCTCTCCACTCCATTGCTTTCCCACCTCTCACCTGGCCCTGTAAGACGATGAATGTTCACAGGCCTGGGTGGGCCCCTAGACGTTTCTTCACCCCCTAAGAAACCAAACCAAGCCTCCTGCCCTCTAGTCTGCTCCAGCCTCTGGTGGCCCCATGCATCTCAGGGTAGAACCAAGCTTCCAGTGGCTGACTGTTCAGAAGTAGATTGCCAGGCCTTTCTTCTGAGGTGTTCTTACCAAGAGGCAGGCGATAGGAGGAAAAGAAACAGAGCAAAGAGAAAATGGTTCATGGAATAATGTAAACTTGCAATGGACTGGGAGCGTCGGCCTTTCCGTTTGCAGCCCGAGCACTTACTGATCGCCCCACCCAGGAGCCCCTCTCCGTTCTCTGTCTTCTTATGAACCATCTCTGTTTGTGTAGAATTTGGGTCTGTTTTTAACTACATACTGGTGTTTTTATTTCTGTACATTTGATTTCAGTGGGTAGATTAAATACTGATTTTAATTAAGTCAGAAGCTGTATTCATAAAGTGAGATGGAAAATTGACAGTTACATGGGTAAATCATGCATAAAAGAGACAAATTTAAATATTCGTGTATATTTCACAAAAAGAAGCTTCTTCCCACTTGAACTATCTCAGACCTTGTTTCGTCGCATTTGTGTTTCCCAGACACAGATACAGACATGCAGGCATCCAGGGAGATTGTCAGTTCTCGGCCCAGAGTGGAATGGGCTTCAGGACAGTGAGCAGTTGCTGTGGTCAGACATGTCTGATTAATTTTTCTGAAACTGTTGCATACGAATATTCATGACTTTTCTATTTCCTTTTCTTGTTTTTCCCTCCCACCGCCAATCTTAAGTGAGAAGAAGAAGACAGGGAAGCCTCCCAGGACTTTGATCACTGAAGATGGAAGAGCCCTGAATGTAAATGAGCCCAAGTACGTGAGGGTGGAACCCGTGGAGACCTGGAGGGGGAGTAGTGGTGCTGGGTTCACGGAGGTTCAGTTCCAGGTGCATTCTGCACAGAGCACACCTGGTGCCTCTTCACAACTGGGATGAGTATGACAATCGCCCCATTGGTGCCTGTTTGAAAGCAAAACTTCTATTGTTTTCTGGTGTGGACGTAAGATTTTATTATCTTGGCATCCAGAAAATGATTCCCACTCTGTTTTGGTTTGATGGATTATTGCATAAATCAGTGCTTGACCTATATCTTCAACTCGGTTGCCTTTTTCCCTACCATCACACTCGTCACAGAGCTCCTACCCTGTTTAAACCCGGCTCACCCACCCTCCCCTGGGCTGTTCCTCCCTGTTGGCTGGAGTAGGGAGACAGTCAACTCTCCTGGCTGGTCTTACCATAAACCACTGAGCACACTTCAGAGGCACTTCCAGAGTCTTACTGTATTTCCTTGTGTCATTCAGTCTCACCCTCCATCAGACATTGGCACACTCCTTCCTCTCTCCTGCCGTCCAGAATCACCACACACTTCCTCAGTCCTAGCTCAGGACTTTGTTTCTTACTTCACTGAGAAAAAGAAGTGACCAGAGGTCTGCTCATCGTCCCAGTGCCAGTGTACCCTGTGCCTGGACTCCTGCCACGTCCTGTCCTCCCACTGCTGCTGAGTTCTCTCTCCACTGGCTGATCCCATCTCCTCTTCTGCTCGAGGGCTTGGCTTCTGCGAGACCTTTGCTCCCTTCTCTATCACTTGTCCTCCCTCTACTGGGTCAGTACATCAGCACACAAGCATACTTTTAATATTCTTCTCTTTGACCCAGTGTTGTTCTTCTTGTACTGCCCTATATCTCTACTCCTACCCTGTAGACCAAGTTCTTGAAGGAGTTGTCTGTGCTCAGTCTCCATTCCTCACGTCTCCATTCCCCACTTCACATTCCTTTTTGAAACCACTTCTGTGGGTCCCATTATCCTGTAACTTATTTTGTCACCATTTCTGTCTTCAGAGTTCAAACTTCAGTCCCCATTCTACTTCAGCTTCTGTGGATGTGGACTAAATTACCCATTTTCTTCTGTCTTGAATCACTTTCAAATGATTCTTGCCCTTGCTTTGGATGTTTCTTCTACTTGACTAGCAGCTCTTCTTAGGCATTGCTGGACCCTTTATTTTTCTGCTCTCCTAAATGCTCTGAAGGAGCTCTGATGGCACAGTGCCTGAGGCATTGGATTGCTAACCAGAAGGTTGGTGGGTCAAACCCACCAGCCACTCTGTGGAAGGAAGACTGGGCAGTCTTCTTCCATAAAGATTTACTGCCTCAGAAACCCAATGGGGGTCGCGATGAGTCAGAATCGGCAGTGGGTTTGGTTTGGTTTTGAAATGCTCAGGGACAAACTACTCAGCTGTTCTACCTTCTTTCTTTATGGCTCTTAACAAATCCTGTAGTTTTAAGAACTGTCTTTACATTGCTTTACATTTACATTGACCCTGCCTCTTCCCTGAGCTCAAGATCTGCATATTCAGTTAGCTA